AAGCCATGCTGTGCTCTTGATAATAAGCTTCTATTTTCTAGATATGCCATTATGCTTTTCTTGATGATTCTCTCCAGTGTCTTAATTAAAGTGCTGGTGAGACTGATAGGCCTGTAATTTGAAGGGCTTTGTCTTGATCCTCCTTTGTGGATGGGGGTTACTATGGCGTCTTTCCAGTCACGCGGTAACACTCCATTTTGGAGAGAAAGCTTGAAGATCGTCGCCAAGGGGCCGGCTATGTGTGCTGATAACTCCTTGAGAAGCCTTAGGTGAAGATTATCAGGACCCATTGATTTCCCTGCATCTAGTTTCCTTAGGCAGTTGAGCACGATGCCTTGGTCGATGTCAACGGAATCTATCCCATGTTCTTCTGATGCAGCCAGAGCTGATCCGGTAGGCAGTGACGACTCCTGAGTGAAGACTTGGGAGAAGTAGTTTGCCATTGCTTCTGCTTTTTCTTGATCTTCTTCGATTGTATCCATTGTCAATAGTCAGGTTTGGGACACCATTGGATGTTTTATTCCTGAAGTTCATGTACGAGAAAATTTTCTTAGGTTGTGCCTTTGCATTTTGAGCCAGGTGTGCTTCGAATTTCATCCTTGATTTGCGGATTTGTGCAATAGCTTTATTTCTAGCAGTGTTATATAATTGCCTGGTCTCAGAAGTCTCAAGTGTGGCGAACAAGTTCCAACATTTGTGTTTACGTCTAAGTAACTTACGAATCTCTCGGTTTATCCAAGGAGGGCAGTGTTTCCGACCCTTTGGGACAGACCAAGGGATGAAAGGTTCAGTTACTTGGGCGTAAAGTTGTTTAAATTGGTTCCATGCGGCTTCTACTTGAGACTCTGGGTTGATGTACCAGTTTACTGAGTTGGCTGCTGAGACGATTGCATTTATATCAGCTTTCCAAACGTTTGGTCGAGATGGGGTTTTGGCCCTTGCTGCCGTTGCTGTGAACTTGAAAGTGAGCACAGCATGGTCACTTCTTCCTAAAGGAGGAAGATGTTGTATGAGATCTACATCCTCACCATGGGAGAACACTAGGTCCAGAGTTGAGGAGGAGTGCTGTGAGTCATAGCGCGTGGGCTTGATGATATGTTGGACTAGAGCTAACGATATACTAGATTCCAGCAGTTTATAATCAAAGGAGTTGACTGAGGATGGAGTTGTTAGGCTCGTCCAGTCAACTGTTGGGGCATTGAAGTCGCCAACTACGAGACTTCGACATTTCGAGGTCCAGGAGCCTAGCTTCTCTATCAGGAAGTCATCTGCACTGCAGTTAGGACTGCGGTACATAGCAATGAGGTCAATGTCTTGGCCTATGCATTTAAGTCTGCAGCGTAGAAGTTCGCACGACTCACTTTCGTGAGCGAGTGCTTCGATACTACGCACGGTTAAGCATTTCTTGAGGTAAATGACTACGCCACCTCCTTTGCGGTTTAGTCGGTCCACCCTATGCACTTCGAAGTTTGGCAGGTTAACTTCGCTGTCAGTGACATCGGGTGTGAGCCATGTCTCTGTGATAATAATTACATCCGGGTTTCCGGAGTCTATCATGTTAACCAGCTCAGTCCGTTTATTTAACAGGCTGCGGGCGTTTGTGTAGCAAACTGTTAATCCAGTTTGGTGCTTCCCCGGCCTACCCACAGAGGTTTCGGGATCATTAAACTGCGAACTTGAACAACCCGAAAACCCTTAATCTTAAGGTTCTTTTCGCCGTTTCGGCGTCGTTCGCTTAATTCTAGGGCCGCAGACTGTCTTTTGATACGGTCTGCCAGGCTTAAGTCGGCGCGGACATATATGCCTGATCCTTTAAGTATATGAGAGTTGCTTAGAATAGCGTCCCTCTCTTCTTTAGAGTTTAGTACGACTTTGAGGAGACGTACAGGCTGACTTACTGTAGGGTCAGGCTTTTGGCCTATTCTATATACACTGTGTATAGTGATGCCTGATACTGTTTGTGGCAGTAGCTTGTCTAAAAGGGGCTTAACCAAGTTAAAGTCATGCTCAAATCTAGTCTTGGGTTCGGGGGCCAATGACTCTTCCACTTTGTGGAGAATGAGCGACCTGTCAGAGAGATCAGGTTTGCTTGCCGTGGTTTTCTTGCTCTGCGGCGTGAATGTCTTCCTGTCCTTCGTGGGCAGTGTGGCCAATGTATTGTCCTTATCTCGCTTTTTGCGAGAGACTACGTTACGCCATTCATTGGCGTTCTCCTCACTAGTCGTAGCAGGATTTATCTGCCTGCTACTCACCGGTGTGGACGAGGCTTGATCCACTAGTACCTGGGTGACTTGAGTTGCGGGTTTACGACCCCTGGTACGCCTCTTCTTTGTGGCAGTCTTTCCGTTACTGTCACTGGAGGGCTTATCCAGTATCGTGGGGGCAGCCTGGGTGACTGGAATGTGGTGAGTGCTCTTCTGTGCTGAAGGGCACTCAGTCATTGACAAAGACTCGTTAGGAACATGTACTGTTCTGTCGATGACGCTAGTCGCATCTTCGGTGTCTGAGAAGCAGTTAGTCTTCTCCTGTGATGGAAGACCTTTGCAGTCCATGAGCTTTAAAGCCCCGCTAAGAGTGGCAATGGCTTCTGTAATACGGAGTTTGGTAGTACTACAACAGTCATTGCACAACCAGTTTTCTAGAGGTTTACAGCAGCGTTTGTATGCTGCAGGAGTTAGGTTTGTGCACATACTGTGAAACCATCTCTTGCAGTTATCACACTGCATTCCCTCATCCACTGGGAATTGGCACATAACCCTTCCACAGCGGTTTTTTTTGATGGGCATACTGTCTAGAACAGACTGGCGAAGAAATTTAAATATAACTTAGATGTATATAGACCTTTATAAATCAGCGATAAAAATCAATGAGTGCACAAAAATATATATAACTATTATGTTATAAAAAAAACAATTTCCTATAATTTAAATAGACTCAGATCTGAAAAGTAAACTAACTTTGATCAGAATAAACTGATTTAAAGTTAATCTGTAGACTTTTGGAGCGTATAACACAACAAAAGCCAAAACTAAACAAGAGCGTGTAAAATTCACTCCCTTTTCAAAGTTCGCGTGGCTGTTACTTCCACTGAGTGTATACAACGGGAACTGTGGATCCATGTATTTCCTCATCACTGTGGATAAAATCTCGCCGCATTCTTTTTGGAAAGGAGACCAGTTGGTGTATTATAAATGATGTCCAAGTAACTTATATCCTTCCATGTGATGTTGTGGTAAGTGTCGACCTTGTTTTCTCATATTTCATTCGCATGTTGGTTATGGTTCACGCTTTGTATCAGGTAGACATAATTCGATCAACTCTTATTTGTATGGGTGTTATTTTCATGACTGCTGCTTTTTGTCTGAAATTATAAATAAAGGCAAAAGAAACAACAGGTGTAGTCTCTAAGGTCATACATTAAATGGGCCTATAATTTCTGAAGCTATTACATGGGAACCAGCACTGGTATCACTTGCGAACCCACTTAGTGTGTCATTAAGTGCCTTTTCAAAGGACACCAGTGAGCTTGCTAGTCACATTTCCTCAGGTAGTTTGTTCCATATTTGGGCATACCTAATCATGAAAAACTTTTGCCCGGTGGTTGTTTTACATTGTTCTATAGCCACCGTACCTTTAGTGTGTCTAAGGTTATATCCAGTGTCTTCTGAAAACCGAGCACAATTAGTAGGGGTATACACTATGTGGTTAAGTAGCTTAAAGAAGAGTACCAGATTTAGCCGCAGTCGTCTTAGCCATAATGTTTCTAGTCGTAGAGTTTCACATCTGGTAGAGTAGTTTGTGCCGTTTTCGGTTCCGAGTACTTTTAGCGTGAAGTACCTCTGTACTCCTACTTTCAGTTTGTCTTCTATGCGTATACTACTAAATATGAATGAACAATAGTCTAGGAGTGGGCGCACACAAACCTTGTACAGTAGTATTCTGGATTCACTTCTGTAGAAGTTCCTGAGTAGGAAACCAATAAGCCTGCGTGATTTCGATACTTGTTTCGAGATATGTTCAGAAAATGATAGATTGTGTGAATATGTCAGTCCTAGGTCTAGCACAGATTTGAGTCTGGGGATTTTGTGGCCCTAAATTGCTAGGTCGAGTTCTAGGTTGGGACAGCCTATGCAGAGTCAGCCACACTTTTCGACATTAAACTCAAGTCTCCAGGTGTCACACCATATGTCCATTTTTGTTAATTCTTCATGTATGGAGTTCATAGTTGTACCGATATCTGTATTTGTGCAGGTATATGTCACATTTAAGTCACCTGCATACAGTATTGGCTTGCCTATACTAAAGCACTTACATATACTGTTTATGTATATAATGAAAAGAAGGGGTCCCAATACACTCCCCTGGATGACACCACTGCTAATCGGCCTAGGCCTGGAGGTCATCGAGCCAATTTTTGTTGTCTGATTTCTGTCACTGAGAAATGATTTTATCCAGTTGTGGAGGGGGTTGCGTATCCCTAGTGAGCATAGCCTGCTGACTAACAGACTATGTGGGACTCTGTCGAAGGCTTTCCTGATATCGAAATAGAGGATAATTACTAGTTCTCTCCTATCTCTTCTATAGGTGACTTCGTTGAAAAAGTCTATATGGCAAGTGACGCAAGATCTTTTCTTAAGGAATCCGTGTTGTGACTGGTTGATGAGTTTGTGTTTTAGAAAGTAGTCTGACATTTGGTCTTTGATTACTTTCTCCATGATCCTTGATATGACAGGTGTTATACTGATAGGCCTATAATTACATGCATTAGTTTTGGCCCCTCCTTTATGCTTAGGTAGTATATACGTGTTTTTCCAATTTTCAGGGTAGGTCCCAGTCACTAGTGATAGGGTGAACATTCTAAGTAATAGTAGTATCATATCCGTGCCACCGTTTTTGTATATGACAGATGGTATATCATCTATCCCACAACTACCGTTAGCTTTTAATGTCTTTACCGCTGATGCTATATTTTGTATATTAAAGTTGATTTCACCTAACTCGTAGTTATTTTTGCAGGTTATGTCGAGGATTGGAGACGGATGCGCTTTGGTGTTATTGGAGAACCATTGGCTTAGGAGTTCACAAATAATCTGGGGATCATCATAAATTATACCTTCATGCTCCAAGTGGCCAACATCATTTTCTTTACCCTTGTTTAGTCGTTTTTGTAAGATCTTGCAGAGTTCCTGAGTTTTAGAGGTGCCCCCTAGGGCTTCATTTTCCTCGAGTTGTGCCTTCATTTTATGTGTCTCCTCAAGATTTTTAAATGTTTCATGTATCTGGTGTAATGCACTAAATTCTTTATATAAATAAAATTTCCTTTTCAGTTTCCTTAGTTTTAATCGCGTTTTGTGGTCTATGAATAGAGTTGGTGTCTGTAGGGCAGGTTTTAAGGGTGCGATTGTATCTCTTACCGAACTGACTGTCTTGTAGAAGGTATCAAGTGTTGCTTCTAAGTTGTCATTGGTAAAGTATTCATCCCAGTCAGAGCTCCTCAAGAGCGTTGGTAGGAATTCCCAGTCGGCATTTCTATAGTCCCTATGTTGATAGTGAACCGGGGAATTTTCAGGTGTGTGTTTAGTTGTTAGTTGAAGAGGTAGGGTGCAGTACAGTATGTTGTGATCACTGTTGTCGAGTTTATCCCCCACCTCTATCGAGATCAGCTCTATTTTGTTGCAGAGGACTAAGTCGAGAATATTGTTATGTCGTGTTGGGAGGGGTACGCACTGCTTCCATCCTCCTACATCCATAGCTTCTAGGAGCTCGTCATAGATTCTAGGTACAGTGCAGGTATCCCAGTTCACTCCGGGGAGGTTAAAATCGCCACAAATTATTTTGTAGTCGAATTCCAGAGTAGGTACATGCTCTAGTATTTCTGCGATAACCGTATCAGTCGTTTTAGGGCTGCTGGGGGCTCTGTATATACATCCCACTAGAATTTTATTTTCATTCGTGTGGATGCTTATCCACTTAGATTCTGGGAGTTTGTCAATAGTTAGGCTTGTAAAAGTATTGGAGTCAGTGGATTTAGAAGCATATATTAGACAGCCGCCTCCTGTGGATGGCATAGTTATCAAATATCAGCTTTGTGTCAGGTATATCATTAGTTAGCCAAGTTTCAGTTACCAGGATCAGTGTTAGCCGTTCCATGTATACCCTGGCTGCGAAGGGAAGTTATTTTGTTAAGGAGAGATCGAGCATTTAAGAGCATAATTTTCAGAAAACCAGTTTTGTTGGGAGGGTGATTAGTGGGTTTTCTTGTTACTATCCCTAACTCCTGGTTGCCTATGTTATGTTCGGAGGGATTCTCAGATGAGACATTGTCAGCGTGTCTACTATTCCCTGAATAAACTGTGCTGCAAGAGGGGCTATTGTTTGCTGCAACCGAAAATAATCCTGTTGCATATTTTGACTTTTAGCATCCATGGGTGGGCATCGGCGTTCATTTACTGGTGATATATAGTTTGCCTTGCAGTTTGCTGGACATAGATACCCTGTGTTAAGATTACCTTGGTAGTTGTACCTCATGGGTCTTTCATAGTCGTATGCATATTGGCTCACATCACATGTGTGAGTGAAGTTATTGAGAGGATCAAGTGTCGATCTAAACTCATTATGTTGATGAGGTTTAACATAGATAGTGCGAGAGTTTGGACGAGAATATTCATTAATATGGTGCCTATATGAGTCCCGTTTAGTGCTCCATATATCCTGAGGATCCATTCTACGTTGCATTACTAAGTTATTAGACTGTTGTCCACAAAACAAAATCTATTTCGTTAACGGCGAGGCAAAGAACACATAGTTTGTCTTTTATAATAATCCAAAGTTTTCAGGATCAACGTGACCAAACTGGAATGCTCACCAAAAAACGGGAATCAATCAAGAAAAATAATACGTTGCATGAAGAAGCGACAGGATCTCCATATTTATTCCAGAGTAGTGAAATCCCCAGTGACTTTCTCGCTTCGACTCTGGTTGACTTTGAAATCCTAACGCGTGCTGTTCAATCGTACTTAAAACGGCGTTGCCGAGGGGTGAGTAGAAGAAATGACTGTCCACAGATTTATCCCATTAATTTTGAACGGCATTTGCCGTGGTTTGTCCAAGGACTTTTCAGAATCGATTGATATGGCCATCGATTAAACCTAGTAGTTTACTAACCTCTTTCACTAGGGAACTTCCTAACAAGCGCATTTGCAATTTTACTGTTTTAATCACTTTTCGCAACCATAATCACCACCACACGATAAAAGTGACATGTGCCGTAGGAAATGAAGAAGATAGACTGTTGAGTGCAGAACTTTAACTTTGTCGGATCAAAAGTTCAACCAGCCATAGTACTATGGCAGAGCGTGGGTACGTAGGTATCTACAAAGATAGAATCTATCAACAGACCAATTTTTGATGCGATATCACCTAATAGTCATTGGTTAAAAAAAGACAAAATCACTTCATATGCTTGATAAGGATCTTCATGTTAACACAGAATTAAGAACGAATTACGACAATAATGGGGGCGTACAACACGGCGAATTTGAGGTAGAGTGTTAGTTGTCATTGTATGCTATAGTTGACGATGATGCGTACCGTTGGAATTTGATCAGTACGTGATTTGCTTTTCCTGAATCCAGCTTCATCCGGTCGCAGTCTTTCTTCTAGTACATCTTTAAGTCTCTTCAGGATGACGTGAATGAATGTTCTGCTTTCTGTAGACAGAGGCATGACTTAGCACCAGTTCTTTCGAGGACTTTATTCGCCTTTCTTCTGCAGTTCGACAAGACAGTCCTTTCAATCCATAGGTGACTTTTCTTCCTTCCAAGCTCCCTGCAGTAGTAGCTTGAGGGTATTCTCTGAGGTATCTGCATCCATTTTCGGTGCTTTCACAGGAATCTTGTCGTGTCATGCCTCCTTCCTGGCTACCAGTGACTTCACGTTCCTTATAGCCTTGCAGATTGTCAGGGGACTGGAGTTCATCAAAGTTCTGTTCCCGCTCATGATATTTCTGGAGTAATTGAAAAACATCATTGACTTAAGAGTGCTTTATAATGGTTACTCAAGCGTCCTCTCTGTTTCATCTCTTTGGGAATTGAGTTTCCCTCACTGTCTTAAACCAAATTAATCTGTCATACTCTTTTCCCGGACAGCGACCTGGTTATCTCATGAAGTACTTTGAGGCCTCCTCTATCTGCAGCCTATTCTACTTCGGTCTCAAGTGTGTCACAGAATTGTGAGTTGTCTTCCGTTGTACCTCTCCCTGCTCCTTTGTTCAGCGCTTTATGGATGGTACTTAGCATTTCATCTAATTTCTAATCCCTGCGTTAGTTCCTCTTCTGCTTCATCACCATCCCCACTTCTAAAAAGTTCCAGGTGTCCGTTGAGAGCTCCCCTTCGGCTTTCCAGTGCTTTTCGCTTGAAATGTCCGTACAACTGCATTTACACGTCACTTCTGGAGTTTTATGGTATTTCTCCGAGCACATTCCTTCGGTGACGTTGCTTAGTTTCTCAGACCCTTACCTGGTGATATCTGTGGAAGTGTTCTGTAACTCTGTCCTTCAGATTTTAAGTGTTGAACTTGAGTCGTGGGTGATCTCAGCCTCTTTGAAGGTGTTCAAGTTGATCTCCAATTTTTACCCAACCAGAGATTGGTCTGAGGCTACATTTGCTCCTCTCCTCGACTCTGTTTTCAGTAGGTTAACACTCTACCATCTTACCGACTTCGGTGTGCCCTTCTAGTTAAACACGGGTCAACTTATTTGTACTTTTGCGCTGCTTAAATTTCTCAAATCAATAAAAACATAGAATTCTGCAAACAGTTTCCAGTTTGATTTGTTTCAAAGATCTAACTCCCCTAGAGCCGTGATGACGTCTCTTCCTGTGTTGCCCGTCCATAATTCGGCTAACATCCATATTACCAAACAGAATTTTGATGCTGCCATCTTATCAGGGTTTTCCTTCTTCTACTGGTTTGTAGTGTGCGTAATTGTTTAGCATTGGGTAACTGTAACTTTTCCAACTCTTGGGTTGAATCTTACCATTATTGTGCTACAGGAGATTGCTTTCCGCTGCATAAGGGCATATAGACTGCTGGTAACATCATGATAGCCGCTCAGTATGCTTGTGATTTTCATCTGAAGAACCTGAGTAAACTATTCACTCACCAGTTAAAAACTTAGATAGTCCAATTACATTCCACCAGCTCACACAAAATCTGATCACTTCCCTACCATATCTTCTTATAGCTTGGCAACTTGTACAGCCTTCTCATCGGGCTTCTGAAACCGCGTGGATATTCCATGTCCCCGTGCTTATTTTTGCCCACATCAGAAGAGAATACATCGTTTGAGTGGCCTCCTGAAGTACTTCACCCACCAGCGTAACCTGTCATCGAAATGACAAGCTTTCTCCATTCTCGCGATGAATAAGTTTTCTTCCATGCTCTAAAGATTCTATAGCTATACATCTGTATCTAACAGTGTGCGGTTGCTATTACCGAGGCCAAATTTCTCTCTTTCTGGGCTTATGCCTTGCTAGGAAATAAGAAGATTTATGGTTGCCCTCAGTCAATCAAAGAAAATCCGCCCTTTAGAAAGTGGCCATTGTAATTTGATAAGTCCTTCGGAAGAGTGTGTCTGAATGCACTACCATTAAGGCTTAGGAGCGTGGGTGCACAACGATAGTTTCATAAACCAGGTAGGCAGGTGGACTTCCAACAAAGCTTTGTTATGATTTGGGCACGATAATCGTTCGAATGTTTCACTAGATTCCCGAGTTTTATTTGCATATATAACGCCAAATAATTCTCCAAAATGACTAGTCCACAATGTCCCACTCGTCGCTTTCCATTCGAATTCCACTCGCGTGACGGTCTGGCGTGCGATTTCTTTCGACAGTTTCCTCAGCGTGTGTTCGGCCCATCTTTACTTCTTTCACAATGTTTGTTAAGCAGCAGGTTCTTAGTTTCTTTCCCAAAGTTTCTTGTTTCAAATTCTTCTTGGCAATTTA